TGCTTTCAAATTATATGTGCTTTGATTGTGATATACTGTACGTAATGTATGGGTTCAGTCAATGAGGAAGCGGAAAGAGAGAGTGTGAGAGCGCCTTAATGTGAGATCGCGATATTAAAGCCCTTGTAAATATATGATAATTTATTATTATTGTTAATAAATGTTTAAACTAAATAAAAACTCCAATACAAATGAATTTTTTATTGCAATTAAAACCCTAATTAAATAATTATTAAAACCCATAATCATTATTTTTAACTAATGTTAGTTGGTTGCACATTGTTTATATAAAACTTGTCTTTAAAATGGGAAAGTTTGAAAAATAAAAATTGGAAACTTTCTAATGTTTGGGTTTTATAAACAATAATTGTAATTATAACAAAAATATTAGTTATATTTTACAATTAATGACTGGAAATTTTAATAATCTGCTGTAATATTTATCATCAAAATCAATAAAAACATATCAATTATAGGATATGAATCATATCATATGATATATCTATTACTATATCATTGACTAAATTGTTTTAATATTAAATATAATTAATTAAATAAATTTTGTTTATCTATCATAACATTTGTTTAATTTACGGAATTCACAGAAAATTATATTTGAATCGATGAAAGAAATAGCATTAAGTTTATTATTACATGAGAGGAAGCTTTGCATAAGGATGTGAGTCCTCCTCAATATCTATACTCAACCAATATTTAATTTCAGATTAAATGTGTAGTAAATGTTACAGAATATGCAAAGTGTAACAAAAATTAGTTACTGTTTAACTATAAATAGAGATATCATATCCTCATAAAAGTTCGACAGAATTACTTAAAGTTTTTATTGTAAAAATATTAATTTGTTTGATTATAACTAAAAATGGGTTTAACTTTCATTTTCTTATTAACATATTTCTCAATAAGTTTAGCCCAGAAGTGGACTTATGATGGTTTGGATATAAATCTTAATGAATTAATACTTAAACATTAAACTCAATGTTTGAATACAGAGCAAAGTTTTTGGAGACAACAATTCCCAAGTTGTGGCGGTCGACGGCAATCGCCTATTAATATCAATACGGATAAACTCATTAAAGACAAATCACTTCAGCTTAAACTAATTGATTACGACAAACCATTTCCCAACTTAAGTGCTAATAATAACGGACACACAGGTATTAAATAGTGGCCTTAAATATTTTAATTAACTTATTCTTGATGTTTGATAAATAGTGGCCATAGAATTGGACTCCAATAGGAAAAGGCCTCAATTAAGTGTCGGACAGGGATTATACGATTTGTCTGAATTGCATTTCCATTGGGGAGACAATAATTTGGAAGGAACTGAACATTCAATCGATAACTACTTCGGTTCGGCAGAGGTTTTGACTATTTTATTCATTACAAAAGATTACATAATGCTATAAATTAATTATTTTTTTAATTAAAAGCTGCATTTTGTTCATTACAATACACTATATGGTAATTTATTAAACGCCAGACAAAATATCAACGGAGTTGTTGTCTTAACTGTCATCTCTCAGCTCTCAAGGAGTGAAAACAATGCCATTCAACCAATTATTAAAGCTTTACGGCATATAACGAGATTTAACACAAGTGCCACAATTGCCAATCAAATTGTTTTCAGCAAATTCTTGCCATTAAATAAGCAATTATTCTTCACATATAAGGGCTCTCTAACAACCCCTCCCTGTAGTGAAAGCGTTCAATGGATTATATACGCCGATCCCATACGGATGAGTCCTTTTCAGGTATACTTTTCTTATTGTGTGTAACTTTCTATACATTTATATTAATTACCAAAAGTTATCGCAATTCCGGAGATTACATAAAAGGGAAATTAATAGACGAATAATCGCTAACACAAGGGATATACAGAAAAGACACGGAAGAGAAGTTCGCGTATCAGTCCCTCAACCAAACAGAGACTCAACTTTTGATGACAACAATTATAATGACATCGACTACTGACAACATCTCATCATTTAATACAGTTTTTCAAATTACAAAACTAATATTAAGTCTAATAAATATTTTATGCAAATTATCACAATTATAGCAATTTTTAATATTTTAAAGCTTTGGTAACAATAAAATTACTGTAAGATTATTACCAAATTGTTATAATGGAAATTCAATTTAAATGACGAGTATGAGTACGAGCATTCAACAATTTTAGCTATAAATTACTATTGAATTAGTTTACGATAATTTGTCCCAAAGAAAACATGTTTGAAACATTTAAACAAGAAGTTGACGATTAAAATACATTATTTAATATAAGCTGACAATTGACCCATTGTTTGCATTTTTCTTTCAAAACATTTGAATATTGAATTTTCTCGTGAATATATTCTTATAATACAAATTTAAAAATTAAAATTACAATTTAATTGACGTTTAAACCTATTTACTAATCCAAAAAGTTATCGCAATTCCGGAGATTACATAAAAGGGAAATTAATAGACGAATAATCGCTAACACAAGGGATATACAGAAAAGACACGGAAGAGAAGTTCGCGTATCAGTCCCTCAACCAAACAGAGATTCAACTTTTGATGACAACAATTATAATGACATCGACTACTGACAACATCTCATCATTTAATACAGTTTTTTAAATTACAAAATTAATATTAAGTCCAATAAATATTTTATGCAAATTATCACAAGTATAGCAATTTTTAATATTTTAAAGCTTTGGTAACAAGAAATTACTGTAAGATTATTACCAAATTGGAAATTGTATAATGAAAATTTAATTTAAATGACGAGTACAAATAGACATCCAACAATTTTAGAGATAAATTAATATTGAATTAGTTTACGATAATTTGTCCCAAAGAAGACATGTTTGAAACATCTTAAAGAAGTTGACGTTTAAAATACATTATTGAATACAAGCAGACAATCGACCCATTGTTTGCATTTTTCTTTCAAAACATTTGAATATTGAATTTTCTCGTGAATATATTCTTATAATACAAATTTAAAAATTAAAATTACAATTTAATTGACGTTTAAACCTATTTACTAATCCATGAGTGGACTAAGAACTGAATCAAAAGATTTAGAAACAGAGATCAAACAGAAATCCATTCAAGAAATACAAAGTTTGTCAAACACTTCAGACGAAGAGATGGATCACTTGTGGAATAACTGTTCGCTCAGTCATATATACGAGGCCTCCCTTTTCCTGAAGACAACGCTGACTGACGTGCGATACCAATGGGCCCAACAGATGGTGGCCCACATTCAGGCCGACCCGCCGTCGCCTCTAAACGGTTACATTTGTGTCCATATAATTGTGGGTCAACTGGAGTTTCATCGCAACTATTTATCGGCCGTTCAAATAGTATTCATGTATTACTGGGATGTCGTCCGCAAAGACAACATAATAAATAAAGTGTTACTCGATTTGAGCGCTAATTTCCAAACCGAGAAAACATTTATCAGAGAAACCATTATTAGAGCCGAAAAGTGTTTGAAGCGAATCGAGAAAGAGATGACTATTATATCGACGACAATAAAGAGCGCGAATCTCATTGTCTGGAGATATTGTGAAGAATTGAATCAAATAAAACTCTGGGCTAACGATCACAACATTAATAGGGTTTCTAAACATAATTGCAATCAAGTCTTAGACAATAATCATATTTTATAACATTTCAATTAATAAACCAAAAAAGTTGAATACAAATAAACAAATTGTTCATTAATTTTTGGGTCAAAATTTATTGATATTTTTATTAATTAGCAATAATTGTAAAGAAAGTACAATTAAATTAAATGAATTTCTATCAGTTTATAACATAATATCTAAAATATTGAAAATTGACTGAAAATGTGATAAATGGTTACAATTATAGGAAAAGTCGTGCAGTTTTTAAGCCTCTTTGAAGGCCTCTTCGATTTCTGCTAATCGTCTCTCCATTTCTTCCTTCTCTTTGCGAGTCTTTCCCTTTTCAAACTTAGTCCTCTCTTCGGGAGTCATATCCGGCAACACTTTGGTCACAACACCGGTCGCTATTGTATGGCTTCGGTCGCGAATCGTGAACCTATCGCCCTGTTCTATGATCATTGGCCGCAACATCTGTTCATTAAAGGCACAGCTATTCAATCAAACAATCGGTTTAATCAACAAATCAATGCAAACCTTAACGGAAACGGACGAGTCTTCTCCCGGAAGCATCATATCCTTGCCATTGGCCACGAGTTCGCCGACACAGTCCCATGTCTTACAGTACAGGAGACCGCGTTGTGTGTTGAGGAAAGGACGGGGAGAACCGCCCTCTTCTTTCTTCAGCAAATAGATCTGTGTCTC